TATATATATATATATATATGAAAGTTTGTAGTTCTCTCATGAAAATATATTCAGCCCACCCGTCCAAATATGAATGAGTTGGGTTAATCATATATTTATGGGCTAATTATGCCACTTATAAAATAAGATTTTAACAAGGAAAAAAATAGGCGGAACAACCTAATAAACACTTCTAGTTGTCCCGCTTTGTCATCCCGGTCCCGATACTCTACGAAGTTTCTTCTACACACTCGTAGTTTTAAAATACATTACTTTAAAACCCCTCTGACCGTTGACCAAGCATATGTGGCATATGCATTGCTGAGTTGGGTAAAATGTGTGATTGCACGCTCTAAAAAGCGAGTAACTTTGATGATTCTAATTGAAAAATAACAAAAAATGAAAAGAAAAAAAATTTATTCTTACACAAAAATTCCACCTCCACCGAGGTCTTTTCCCGCTTCCCCACTTTTCCATTCTTCGTGTACCCCCCCACCCCCCCCCCTCCCCCCCAGGATTTAGGGCAAATAGCTGACGAGATCTACGCCAACGGCGATGAGAACTCGTAGCGTCACCGGCCGATTATCAGCGGCGAGCAGCTGGATATTGAGTTGTACGCCGCCTTATACAGCGGCCGAACAAAAATTATGAGGCTTCTATTCATAGCTGATTGTTGTGGAAATGCTTCAATGCAATTGGAGGCTTTGAGAATGGCCTATGATGAAATTAAGAAAGGGGAGAACACGCAATTGTTCCGTGAGGTTTTATAGAAGGAGAAGCTTGAGAACGAACTCAACGCTTATAGGGTATCTTCAGCCATGGAAATGGACCACTCTTTTTGTCACTATTTCGATCTTTGAGTCTCTTTAAAATGGACCTAATATACCCAAACTTTACTTTCTTGATTTGGGTGTTTGGTTTTGAACTCTATTGTTTTTAAATCTTTATTGCAGTTTCAAGTAGCAAAGTAGCAGTTCTTCCGTTTCGGGGGCTCTTCTCCGGCAACAGTAAATTGAAAGGGGATTTTTTTTTACGTCCGGTGAGTCATGAAAGGATTGATGTTTGAATTTTATTTTTATTTTTATTTTTTATTTTTTGATTTTAATTAATTTTAATCTACCATGTGACATGGCATCTAAACATTGTTATTTTTTGACGTGGCAGCCAACGTGGAGGAGATTGTAGTACACGCACTGCAACCTCCTGTCATAAGCGTTTATTATACACGATTTGAAGGAGTGTAAGTGTTCAATTGGTAAATCATTAAGTTTGGGGACCGGCATGACAAAGTGGCACGAGTATAGATACCAATTAGACTATTCTGCCAAAAAATAACCAAAACGTGGAGATCTTGCTCATTGAACATATAAAAAAACTAGTAAATTTGTCCGCGCTTCGCGCGGTATTTAAAAATATCAATAAATCTACAAAAAGATTTGCAAGTTAATAGCAAATTTGGATATTATTCCTCCTTTACTTTGAGAAAGAAAATACTTATCAAGAACTTGCAGTTCAGTTAATTCATAATCTTGGTTAATTTATACAGAATACTTATATGATGTATAGTCCTATATGTTACTAATCTAACTAAAAAGTTCAAAGAGTATTAAAGAAAAACTGAAACTAATTTAGAATTGCGTAAATTTCATCTTAAAATTACTAATTGTACAAAATAAAAATATTTAAATCATTATTTGTAGTATATTGAAAAGATGAAATTTGATATAAATGAAATACAAACTTATTTGCTAACAAAAGGAATTCATTAGTAGGATCATCTCCTCTGCCTTGCCTTGAGAGACAGATTTCAAAAGCTAGCTTTGTGATTTTTTTAATGTTAGTGCATTAATCTGCCATCTAAGCATGCTTTTATAAGAATACATTTAATGCATGAGTAAATGGGACATTAATTTTAAGATAATAACACAATGTAAGGAATAAAACAGTTAATTCGAGATAATAACACTATTAAAAATTACCATGTATTCACTTTACAAAAAAGAGTTAATATTAGACTTAAATAAAATAAGAACATATGATGTTCTCGAAACAAAACATTCAAAATTAAAAAAGAAACCCATTAATTAACAGAATAGACTTTAGGGAATAGAAGGAACCAAAACAAATTTGATTAAATCCTAGCAATAAAAAGTAATTACCATCTAATTTACAACTTTGTTTTCGTTTTCCCTCGTACTAAGAGATATACTCATCCAAAATCCTAAGTACGTAGATTGAACCTGTAAAATATATAGGTGATGTCAGTTATTAATCAACATTAAAAGACCAACAAACAAAGGGGGGAATACAAGAATACTAGCTAGCAAAGCCAAATTCATTATATGTGTAACTTTTCACCCCCTATCCACAGCCTTTGCTATAAACCCTTAATGCTTAGTACAATCAGTAGGCAAAAAGGAAACTCTTTTGGCCACAAGATCATATCCAATTAAGAAATTCCTCTGTGCCAAGTTCCCAAAAATAGCAATATCCACCTCTGGCAATATAGTAAAACAAACCAAACCTTCAGCCACTTGTGTAAATGTGTTTATGGGCAACAACTCTAAATCTGCATTCGTAAAATGTGCGACAAGTTTGGGAGCATCGATAGTGCCATTCTTAGACTCGTAACATACCTTAAAAAGTCCTGATGGATCGTCCTTCCTAGTAGCATTTATCGAAGCCACCAATTGTTTTTCCAAATCAAAGTAAAAATTCGAAAGGGAGAAGCGTAAGTGTCGTACCAGAATCAATTATAATGTTACCTTGATCGTTGGAATTGATTTTAGAGGATTTGAATGGCAAAGTCTTATTCCCAACGGTGATACCTTCTAAAGTTAGAAAGTAGAATGTTTCTGCCTCTTTGCTTTTTATCAAGGGAATTGAAACAACGCCAGGACCAGTTACAACAGCATTATCACCAAAGTTTATGTGACTAGTTGCATTGGAATTAGTTGATGATTCCAATGGGATTAAACAATAAGAGAATTTCCCTTTGATTTCTTGATTCATTTGATTGACAATTGAGACATTGCCACCACCTAAGCCAATGATGCCAGAAGTGGTGTTAGGGAATGTCCCACCATTGTCATGTCCACAACCAAAAATGATATTAGGAATTGAGACATTTTGACTAGAATTAGAAGCAAATGTGAAAGTTTCACTAGAAAGATCACCACTAGTTTCAGAATGGTCACCATAAGTCACTTCATAACCACATATGTTATTCTTACATGCAGAAGATCCTACTTCTTGACATATTTTTTCTTTGCAACCAATTGTTTTGTAAGAAGAGCTATTTTTGGGATTAAAAATAGGTGCCACTTGTTTGAAACATTCAACACAAGGCTCACATTGTATCCATGTCAGCAATGGCAAAGGTATCTATTGCTGGAGTTCCAATAGAGATTTTCATGAGGTATTCACTTGGGATTGGGACAATCGTCGATTGGATTGCATTAATGGAGTTTTTCTTGAAGAAGGAAGCCAGGGAAAATGACCGTTGGAAGGCGTTTCGGATGTGGTCATATGGAGTGTTTGACGGGTTGTAAAAAGGTGAAAGCGGAGAATCGCGATGGATGAGATCAAGAGTAAAACCATTTACACTATGGCTACTTATGGATTTATGGCACCAAACCAAAAAAAGATGGAACAAAGCTAAAAAGATCAATGTAGGAATAAGATTGAAAGATTTAGTATTAATCTTCATGGCTAGAGATTTGGAGAGTTGAAAAGATTTTGGAGAATAATGAGAAATGATGAAGAAGAGACACTGTTTAGTACCATTTTATAGGTAAAACTTTGTATGTTAAGACTTCAAAAGATGGAAAGTGGAAGTGTGGCGGGGCAGAGGAAAAGGTGAATTCTTGATAAAATTACCAAATACTAGAGTATGAAGTGCAATATTTTGGAATGTTGAGTTTCACTTTCCATAAAAGACATGGATATATAATTATATAATTTAAGGAACTACAATATCTAAGAAGATTCTTACCATATACTCCTTTTTTTTCCTTCCATATTTTCTATAAAATAGAAACACTGACATTCTAGACATTAATAATTTAACTTTCTTTGGAAATACAACTAGATACTCATAACAATATGTATGATTTTGGAAAGCTTTCTCCAGATTTGATTTTGTAACAATAACTTCTTTTATGATTTGCTATATTACTCATACATTATTATGATTTTTAGGAGAAAAATGTTTTAATTTATTAACCTTTAATGAAAAATAATAATAATTTAACAAATTTTCCTTTCTTCCTCCTCTTTCCAAGAAAATATATTCAAGTTTGTCCAAGAAGTCTAACCCTTTTTTGAATGATACTTTCTTCTTCAGCAGTCTTTCAAGTCTTGGTAATTGTATACGGTTAAACCGGGCCTACCCGATTTTACTATTTGATCGGAATCAGGGAGTTGCGTCGAAGGTAGGCCTCGTAGTGGATCAAGATCAAAGCACGAGGACAAGGTACCGAGTTCGAGAATCGAAGTGCCTGTCGAGATCGAGGCCGGCAGCGATCGAGACCAAATAGGGCAGACTTCTAGCAAAGCGCAATAACAGAAAAACGAGATATCCGTGACTGCCGAAGATCATGGCAAAAATCTCGGAACATATCAAATCAAGGGCGATTGTTTAGGCTAATCATGGAATTTACTTCCGTAATTAGAATTGTACCATAGATTGGATTCCTCTACTATATAAAGAGAGTTCTAATCATTTTGTAAGCACTTTACATTCACGCATATCAAAGCAATACAATACTTTATGTTAAACTTATATCCTTGTTCATCAGCTTGTTATATTTTTAACTGTTCTTGCACTAATCAGTTCGAGGGTATTCGAGCTCGAGGGCCGAACTCCGTTCAAACACTGGTTTGCTTTATATTATTGTTAATTTTTATTATTAATCTTTACATCTATCAATTGATATTAGGGGAAATCACGTGTCCTTAAAACCACATTATAAGTTTAATTGTTAACCAATTTTTAGGGTAAGCAGTTTGGCGCCCACCATGGGGCTAAGGATAATAGTGATTGCCTGATATTAATTCTCGTAACACACACTGCTTTACGCTTGTTCTTGTAAGTGTCTTTGATTTCAGGAATCAACATGTCAAACTCTCAAGTAGCACCCACTCACACAGACAACGGCCTTGGTCTTCATGGCGAGAACGAGAACATAGTCGCCCCGGGAAACGGAGTACCCCCAGTCAACCCCAATGGACCACCGGCCGTAGACCCAGTCGATGTCAGCTCTCTTATTGCCATTAATGGAAATTTGGGCGTCGACCCTGAAAATAGCATTCGCAGAGATTCCCGAGAAGCTAACCAGAATGCACAGAGCGGTGAAGAAGGTGGAATTGGCCTTCGAATGATATTCAAAATGTTGCAGACTCAACAAGCTGCGATAGCGCAACTCCAAAATCAGAATCGAGCACCAAACCATATTGAGCTCGAAACATCACAAGAGGTCGTTCGTAGAGTCGAACCTGCACCGGAGAAATTGAACGCCAATGAGTCGGGGGCTGACTCCACCATTATGAAGATGCTCGAGGAGCTCACTAAACGGATCGAATCAGGTGAAAAGAAAATTGAGGCTAACGACAAAAAGGTAGAAACGTACAACTCACAGGTTGACCAAATACCGGGGGCACCCCCGATTCTAAAGGGTTTGGATTCGAAGAAGCTCGTGCAGAAGCCTTTCCCTCCAAGTGCGGCTCCGAAGCCCATCCCGAAGAAATTCCGTATGCCAGAAATTCTCAAATACAATGGGACCACCGACCCTAATGAGCACGTTACTTCTTACACATGCGCAATAAAGGAGAATGACTTAGAAGACGATGAGATTGAACCCGTTCTATTGAAAAAAGTTGGAGAGACTTTTTCGAAAGGGGCGATGATATGGTACCACAATTTGTCGGCCAATTCCATCGATTCCTTCGCCATGCTTGCAGATTCGTTTGTGAAGGCACACACCGGAGCAAGGTTTGAACGACCTCTTCAAAGTGAGAGAAAAGGACAATGAAATGTTAAAGGAATGTGTATCTCAATTCCAGATGGAACGCATGGACCTACCCCCGGTCACAGATGATTAGATTGTTCAAGCCTTTACTCAAGGTTTGAACGAGCGATGTTCGATAACATCACGACAACTAAAGCAGAATTTAATTAAATATCCAGTTGTGACCTGGGCCGATGTACATAATCGATATCAGTCGAAGATCAGGGTCGAGGATAAGCAATTGGGAACCCCTTCCTGTTCCGTTTACTCAAATAGGCCCGTCGGCAAAATTCAAAGGGACATCGACAGAGAACCCCGATCGAACAAAGATCATTACCAACCATACAATGCAGATTGTAAAAACTGCGGCCTAGGACGTAATCCCGTTCGAAATGATCGAAGGAATAATCGAGGACAGAGTTCCCGAGGGCTCATGAGTAAAAGTGGCTTCGATAAACATGTCGAGCCCATAGAAGCACCAGGACTATCTGAATACAACTTCAGCATCGATGCATCAGGTATTGTGTCAACCATTGGACGGATCAAGGATACCAGATGGCCCAGACCCCTGCAGACCGATCCAGCTCAAAGGAAACCTAATCAACTATGCAAATACCATGGTACCCATGGACATAAAACCGAAGAATGCAGGGAGGAGGTAGCTCGTTTATTCAACGAGGGTCACCTTCGGGAATTCTTAAGCGATCGGGCCAAGAATCACTTCAAAAACAAGGATTCGAACAGGCAAAACGAGCAGGAAGAGCCACAACATGTGATTCATATGATCGTTGGAGGGGTCGATATTCCTCAAGGACCGGTATTCAAATGCACCAAGGTAACGATCACAAGGGAAAAGCAAACCCGGGACTACTTACCGGAAGAAATCTTGTCTTTCAACGACGAGGATGCGCAAGGGAACGAACAACCTCACAGTGACGCACTGGTAATATCTATCCTTATGAATAAAATTCAAGTTAAACGTGTGTTGATTGATCTAGGTAGCTCGGCTAACATTAGACCAGCTCAGTCTCCAAGATCAAATTGTGCCCGCAACTCGAGTACTTAATGGCTTCAACATGGCAAGTGAAACCACCAAAGGGGAAATCATTTTGCTAGTAAATATGGCTAGGACCATCTAGGAAACAAAGTTCTATGTGATCGAAGGCGACATGAGGTACAATGCGTAGCTCGGGAGGCCTTAGATCCATAACATGAGGGCAGTATTCTCGACGCTTCATTAAGTCTTGAAGTTCCCAACATCAGAAGGAATCAAAATGGTGTATGGTGAACAACCCGCCGCCAAAGAAATGTTTGCAATCGATGATGTGTTGCCAGTGTCGGCGCTTTCATCAACAAAGGAATTAGAGTCGAAAGGAAAGCGAGAGGTCAAATAGCAACCACAATCACCGGCCTCTGCCCGATCGGAGGAGCAGGAAACTTTCGAGGATAATGATTATATGATACCTCGAACCTTCATAACCCCCGATGATTCTGATGCAACAAAGTCAACGGTCGAAGAGCTGGTACAAATCGTGCTGATCGAGCATCTGCCCAACCGAAAGGTATACCTAGGTACATGGTTAACTCCCAAGCTCAGAAAAAAACTCGTTCAATTTCTTTTAAACAACGTGGATTATTTTTCTTGGTCCCACCTAGATATGACAGGGATCCCACCGGAGATCACTACGCATCGACTGAGCTTGGACCGAAGTTCCGCCCGATAAAACAAAAGAGAAGACCTCAGTCTGAGGTAAAACATGCATTCATCAAGGACGAGGTAACAAAACTTCTCAATATAGGATCCATTCGGTAGGTAAAATATCCCGAATGGTTAGCAAACATAGTTGTAGTCTCTAAAAAGGGAAACAAACTTAGAATGTGCGTAGACTATAAGGATTTAAACAAGGCATGCCCTAAAGATTCCTTTCCTTCGCCGAATATCGATCGCATGATCGATGCCACGGCGGGCCACGAGATCCTTAGTTTCTCGATGCCTACTCCGGGTACAATCAAATAAAAACAAACCCAGAGGATCAGGAAAAGACTTCGTTATCACTAAATATGGCACTTATTGCTATAATGTAATGCTGTTCGGACTAAAAAATACTGGTGCTACTTATCAACGCCTAGTAAATCGAATGCTCGAAGAACAAATAGGTAAATCAATAGCATATTGATGATTTGCTGGCTAAGCCCCTGCGAGCAGAGGACCATTTGAAACATTTTTAGGAGACCTTCCACATACTGAGAAAGTACAACATGAAGCTTAACCTGGAGAAATGTGCATTCGGGGTCGGCTCGGGCAACTTCCTCGGCTTTATGGTATCAAATCGAGAATCGAAATCAACCCCGATAA